TCATCTATTAGATGAATGTACAAGAAGAATTTTTGGTACTTGTTTCATCAACAAGCCAATTACTTGATATATTTTTTAAAAGACCATAAGATCACAATGTCCCTGAAGAATTGATCAAAATCTCAGATTTTATTTTATGATCCCAAAGAAAACTGTGTAACACACATGGACACCATATTTTAGTTTTCCTGTTTATCAGAACTCTGTCACTGGTGAGCCCAGCAGTGCTTCTCAAACCTTACTGTACACATAAATCACCTGGGGATCTTGTTAAAATGCAGATTCTGGTTTAGTAGGTCTGAGGGAGGCCTAAGATCTGTAACAAGCCCTTGGGTGATACTGAAGCTGCTGTTGCATGGTCCACACTTTGAGGGGCAAGCGTTAGAGTATAAGCATTAACATCACTGTCTAGAACCATGGGACTAATTCCTACATGAACCAGTTTGATTTGTTCTGGGCTCAGATAGGGTGATGCCCTAGAAGGATTCCAGCCTTTGGAATTGACTCTGGCCTACCACTTACTAGCAGCATGTTTCTTTGAACAAGTTACTTTACTACTCTCACCACAATGTCCATATCTGAAAATAACAGATGATTATTCCTCCTTCTCAGAGCAGTAATGAGGATGAGGTGAAATAACACACCTAAAGCATCTACTACAGTTCCAGGTATACAGTGGACCTCGGTAAGTGGCTTTCTTTCATCCACCTGCCTTTCATGGTAGAGATTGCCCCTCTGACTGATTAGTGCAAATGCATCATCTATCAATGGAGAAACAATTAAGTATCGTTACCCTATTTGCCTATGTGGTCATGATTAGACATAAAGGGTATTACCCTGTTTCTGGTCTGCAGTTATTCTGTGTATATTTCATCTTCTCTCCTCAACAGAGTGTATGTTCTTGGGGGTTAGGACTATATGCCGTCTTCTTTTTGAATCCCCATGAGACTTATCATGGTGCTATCCATAGAATATGCCATTAATTAATGCTTACAAAATGAATCAGACAACCTATGTCAATAATCATAGCCATAGTAATTATGGAAATAAGAGTAATAATTGAACCTAATATTTACTAAGAACTCTGGGTCAGATACTATCCTAAGGGCTTGCATGCATTATCTTGTTCAATCCCCACAACCGTCCTCTGAAACAACATCTATTTGCCATCCTTGTTTTTCAGACAAGGCAGCTGAGGCTCAGCTATACTTAGGAAGACAGAATGCCCTCTGTGGTGGTCAGGGGTCAGTTCTGGAGGCGAGGCACGTTGCCTATGGTCTGAATCCCTGCTCCATCTTGCACTAGCTGGAAGACATGGGTTTCTTAACACCTTAATATTCAAATGTGTCATCTATAATTACTAGTGCCATTGTGACAGGATTATTGTGAGGTCTGTATGAAATAATGTGTGAAATATGCAAAAAGCACTTAGCACGATGTCAGGTGCTTGGAAGTATTCAGTCAGTGTTGGCCCTGTTTAGCTGTTTGTTAAGTGACTCATCCACAGCCTCACAGCTAGCAAGTGGCAAAGGTGGGATTTGAACTCGGGCTTCCTGATTCCAGTGTCATAGCTCATAATCTTTCAGTTATATTGCTATGCATCTCCCATTTCAATGTGTTGAGGTGGGAACCAGAAATTCATGTGTCAACGTGAAGAGGAAGGACAAGGGATTGCAGAGGCAGAAAAAGTGTGTGAGAAACGTTGTATAATTTATAACCTTTTAAAAAAAGATATTTGCAAAGCTCCAGTATTTGTACTATCACATTTTCTAAAAGCATTTGTATAGCTAGTGCCCATTCGAGGAAGGAGGTGCAAGCAGAAGCTGATACAGATTTTGTAATGCCTCAAACTCATGTCCTTTGGGAGAAGGGAGAGAAACCTCCTTAAGAAAAAACATCATTAATAAAATTAAATAAGTAATACCTTATTTGTGTAAATGATACTAAAGCATATGACCATGTGAACATATTGATAGGGGCTTCCTCAAGGCCTTGGAAGGGCCCCAAAGCTAAACTTCATTCGCTTTATGGTCAATGCTCTCGCAGCACAAAAGTAGCCTAAACCCTGACCTGCAAGGCAGCAAGCTGGCCTGCCTTTGTTTTGCTTCACAACTTCCTCAAGGCCTTGGAAGGGCCCCAAAGCTAAACTTCATTCGCTTTATGGTCAATGCTCTTGCAGCACAAAAGTAGCCTAAACCCTGACCTGCAAGGCAGCAAGCTGGCCTGCCTTTGTTTTGCTTCACACAGGGCCGGCTTCTACTTTCTTTGTCTCAGTGCCTCTATTTGAAACCTTAGTAATAGACTCTACAGACCTCTAACTTGCAGGAAATTCTGGCGGATAGCTGGCTTCCGAGAATAGATATATTAACTTATTTAAAAAAAAAAAAAGCCAAGCAGACGGTATAGGTTTTTCATACCTACTGGCAGGTGGCACAGAACTAAATGTTGGAGTCTTTTTATAAGCAAGATTAAATTGACTTGTGACAGCTGGTCACTAAAATACAGGAAGTGCAGACGAGATGAAAGCAAGAACACATTGGTGTTCATTAAGTTTGCATCAGAATAGAGCTTACTTTATTATTTAAGTCTTAGTGATGCATTTATTTTACAGTATCTGCTGTTTGTCCCTTACACACAAGGTGATCTTCAAGGTATATGCAAGTCAATTAGTTCTCTTTGCAGTGTCTTGGTATGAGTTCTGTGTGTGTAAATTGAACCAGTGAATAGGCTTAGCTCTCCAGAACATCAGCTATTTGACTGCTAGTGAAGCCTTCTAGGTTTCAGTGTACTGTTCCTCCCCTCCTGATGTGACAGTGGGCATGGGAGCTGAATGGCTGTGGAAATGGATAATGAATCTGTCAGAAACAAGTGGATGTCATAGAAATCTGCCCTCCACCCATCACGAGGCCGGAGGTCGCAACACCAGGAATTGAGAGCAATCTCCCAGCATTGCGAAATCCATTTTTTTCCATTGGACAAAAAGCCATTCTGGCAAGGGCTCTAAATAAAGCATGTTAGTGTCTGCCTGGAATGAGGGTGATGAGAATAAACTGAACTGTGGAAAATGAAAGGGAGCCATTTCCAAATACATGCCACACTGTCCTGGTGCCTCACAGTCCACTTTCAGTGCTCAGTCCCAGCACAGCAATGGTCACAATGACTGAATAAAAGCAGCCCAAAAGCTGAGCAAGGTCACCACATTTACTGCTGGAGAAGTTATAGTTTTAGCCAGTGCCCAAACAATGCTTCCCCAAACTTCAGCTGAACCAGGTGGTCATCCTTGCATGACGAGATGAAGCTAAAAGAAGCACAGTGCAGGAAAATTATAATATGCAAATGCTTTGTTTTTCCTCTCCCCTGATCTGTGTTCTTGTCCTAGGTCTTTCAGGCATTGTTTTAGGACAGTTCCTGTGTTGGGTTTCAGTCATCTCGTAAATCCTCTGGAGTTTAAATTAAATTAAATTGGGTTTACAAGGTCTCACCAATTTTATAGAGGTCCCTTTGTTCAATGTAAGATTAGTTGTGAAAACCCATGATGAGTGCATGTGGCAGTTTTCAGCACACATCACAGAGTGTTTGATTTAGTACAGTGCCTACTAATTCTCTATTATTAGTCCATTGCCGTAGAACATGCACATGAAGTTCCTGCTTTCAGGGAGTTTACTTGATTATTATTCATTTGTTTAATCATCAAATATTTTTTGAGTAATTATGCAGCAAGCATCTGGACATATGCTGGGATGTTACAATAAATGAGGCAGACATGACTCCTGCTTCCCAGGAATTTATACTCTAGTGAGGGTGGCAGGAGCATAATCAATTAAAATACAGCCTACATCTATAGCAGAGATAGTATGGACTTTATTATGCAACTGGCCTTGCCTAGGAAAAAAAGCACATAGGAAAAGCATCCTGGTGGGTCAGAAAATTATTCAGATAGTTGATCAGTAGAGTGTTTTTTGAATATCAGCTAGGAGCCAGGCACTGAGATATCCACGTTAACATCTGAAGAGAAGAATTATCCAGATAAAAGAAGTAGGGGTAGGAGAGTAGGATAAAGTAGGCAGAAGAAACAGCTTATAAGATCACCTAAAGGCAAAGTAGAGTTAGGAGTGGTACAAATGAGGCTGGAGGAGGGACAACAGGTAAATTGCAAAGGGGGTTGCAAGACATATTGCAGATCCTGAGGATAATGGGGAATCTTGCAATGGTTCTAAGCCAGGAGTGACCCCAATATATTTGTGTAAAACATTGTGTGTACTATTGTGTTGAGACTGGGCTAGACAGAAGTGTGACTGGAGCACAAAGTTCTGTTTAGAAGCTGTTGTAACAAACCAGATCAAAGACGATGATGTCAACGAAGAAAGTTAAAATTGTTAGAACTGAATGGATTTGAAAGATAATCAAGATATTGAGTAATGACGGAGCAGGTGTGGCAGGAGAGGGAGAGGGTAGAGTTATTCTTGGCCAGCTGGGTGGAAGGATGTACAGTTTACTGAGAAAAAACGCTGAAGGGGGAGTAGGTGGGAGAAGGAAGCCAAAAGCTCTGCTTTTGGACATGTTGAGTTTGATGTGTCCAGGAGGCATTTTGATGAATAAATCTGAATTCCAGGAGAGAGTTTTGTGATAGAGAAACAGATTCAGGACACATCAGTAACATTGATCAGATATCCTTCACCTGGTGATAATGGAGGGAGGGGGTTCTATGAATCCCTATGTATAACAGAGACTCTCTAAGTGTCCTAAAATGTTTTCAAATTTTTTAGCTTATTTGATATGTGTTTACGTGGTGAAAGAAGGGAAGATGACGAAAATTTGCTTTAAAATCTCTGTAACCCAAAGGACGTTAAGTACCACAGAGGGAAATTGAAGGGACAACCTAGATGAGAGTGCCCAGGGGGAGTATGCTGACTGCGCTGGGCCAGAAGCTGAAGAACAGCACTTGTAGGGCCGGCCCGGTGGCGCACTGGAGAGTGTGCGGCAGAGTGCCCAGGGGGAGTATGCTGACTGCGCTGGGCCAGAAGCTGAAGAACAGCACTTGTAGAGAAGAGGCTGAAGAGGGTCCTGAAAATGGACTTGAGTATCCAGAGGGGGGGTTGTTGGGGAGGAGGGCGTGGTCCAGAGTCAATGCTCCTGAGGGTCAAATGAGGCCAGGAAGAGTATCCATTGGATTTTCCACAAGAAGGTCATAGGTGATCTTGGCGGGAGAGGTTGTGATCAGTTGGAAAGAGTGAGTGAGTGGGAGATGAGAAAATGGAGATGAAAAGTATAGGAAACTCAAGAAGGAAGAGTGTTAAGGAGGTAGCTTAAGAAGATCAGGTACAAAGGAGCTATTTTCCCCACTTAAGATCAGAGAGACTTGTGTAATGAGCAGGAGATTTTAAAAGCAGAAAGATCCTTAAGTAATAATTATCTTAACCAAACACACAGAAATATTTAAGGAAATCAGAGAATTAGAACTTGGGGTGCCTACAGTGGTCAGGATAGATTTCAGGGAAGGGTTATGAATTGATTTGAGCCTTGAATAATTACTAAGTTTTTGGACAGGTGACATTGAAGCTATTAATTGAAAGAAATCTGAGAAAAATAAGATTAAACATTCTTCTAGCCTTTTTTCACCTTCTTTTGTTATTCAAAGAATGCTTTCTCAGCTAATATAATGTCTTTAGAATGGAAATTGCCTGTAATTCAGAGAGTGACTACAAATATGAAAGTATTAACCATTACAAGATATATAATCCAATTTACAGTTACTACTTGCATTCTGGTCTTCACAAATGAAACCAGCATATTCTGTGGGGTCAGTCATGTTGTTCATTTACTCATTTGGAATTTTTAACACCAGATAGGGTACTAAATCAGTATAAGCTGGTGTGTCTCTCGCTCAGGTTTCAAACATCCTCCATATATATAAATACACCCTTCAATAAAGGTACTAATGTTGGAAGGAGAAAGATCGTTTAATAAGCAACCTAGCACAAGTAACTCCCTGCATATAGGAGATTGTTTTAGGACCTAGCTCATAATTAAGCACTATTTAACTGAATTATTTTTGCACTTGCCTTTTTAAAAGATTGTACAAATGTTAATTTTCAAAGGTGGTTTGCATGTGTGAGCTAAATAAGTATTGTTTAAGTAGTAGCCTTCCAGCTTATTACAGTTTGTAAGTACGCAGAGGGCAGAGTGTTGCTACAAGTGTTACAGATTGTAGTAAACCCCTATGGAAGCTGCGGCTTGATCTTCCCAAAGAGGTTTGAGTGGATGGCCATTGCTTTAGGGTCTACACCTTTTAGTTAGAAGAGAGCTCAGCAGCTCTTAGTATTAGGCTTAGCCATTCCTTTTCTTCCTTATCATAAGTATGGGTCAGCTTCCAAACGGATGACCGATGCACAACTGAGAAACTTAGCTATTGCTATACAGACATTAGAAAAAACAACATCAGTTGCTTATTCTGTTATTTCTCCCAGTTCATGACATCTGCCCCAAAAGAAAACAAAAACTAAAACACCACAATATTTCTTGGTTTTTATGAAACATGAGTTTTTATATTTTTGTCCTAGTTCCTGAAAGAGGTCAGGCTCATTTTTAAACACAAGCACACACACACACACACACACACACACACACACAACATTTTCAGGTTCTAACTCTGACATATGACATATCCTGGTAGTTTATCCCCCAGCTCAGGTGCCCAGATTCTCTCCTTTGTGTGGACACATCTCTACCCACATACTTTATTCTAACCTCTGGTCATGGTCATTCTGTCAACTTAGGTTTTACCTTTCCAGAGGATGTGGCCCATGCTTAGTGTGATATAATTTATAACCTGCTGCCTCAACAAATATCAAGTTGGCCTTTGCAATTTTATAGTCAAAGACTTCAGATATGGGAATGTGCTTTTGTGGAAATTGCATATTCTGTTGCTGCCTCTCATATATCACAGCTGTATTCACAGGCAGCAAAGGCAAGGCCTTTGCTAATGACTTCAAACCCCTGGCACACGTAGTTTTTTTATTTTCTAGGATGCTAAGCAACTTTTATTAGAGTCATTTGGCCTATTTCTGAGACACCATTGTGATTGCATTATTTGCCGTGAATCTGAGGATCAGTGCCTCACCTTCTCTCAGGTCAGTTAGAGGCCTTGGTGGAAAGACTTCTGATCTAAGGCAATGTTATTTTAGAACCCAGAATGAGAATACCTGATTATAACCTCTTGGGTCTATAAGAATAAGTCTGAAGAGCAAATTGTTTTAATGGTTATTTTCATTTTTACACAACTGATTGTCCTAATGATTTAAAGGGGAAAAAAAAAGAAGATAACATTGTTAAATTCAGATGAAATCCACATGTAATTGTCATAGATTCGATGATATAACAGAAAAACCTCTCACTAGTTGTAATATTTTGGATACCTACTGGGACACTATTGGCCATGGATCACAGTTGTCTTACAGAAGCTTCAGCAGGGCCTCCCTGAACTGA